CAGCACCGACAAGAGGCACCTGCAACAATTTTAAACAGCAACCTCAAAATTTACCCTCTTCCCAGTGAAGCAACTCAAACATGAGAGTCTGTAAAGAAAATGATATGGGAATGGTAAAGAAAATACATGAAATTTCAGCCCTGTTTGCCATATTTGAAATTCAGAAATCAGAGCTAGGCAAAGGAGTTTTATTATCCCAGCATCTCAGAAACACCAGGGAGAACCTGCTGATTGTATATGATATATCTACACAAAATGCTTTGTCTCTGTTCTGTGATTTCCGCCTAGACATCCCAATGAAGTTATGAAGCTGAATACCGTTTCTCTTGATTTAACAGAGAAGGAAACCGAGGCAAGGAAGTAAAAGATGGCATGGTCCCATAGCAGGTCAGTGGCAGAGCTGGGAGCAGCAGCAGCTCTGCTGGGGGAAGAGCTTCTAGCACCCAAACCTGCCTCGTAGTATTTGGCAAAGCCATCACAGCAGCATCTGCTTTCCAGGAAGTTTTCTTGTGATCAGCATTTACATAAAGAGCCATTTAATGGTGAAAGTGCTCTTCTGCATGTGGCTATGGAAAGAATCTAAACACTACCTTCCAAAAAAATTAATAAAAATACTGTATGTCCTTTAGAGAAGAAGTCAGGAGATCCCCATAATAGATTTCTTTATCAGCTGTGACCTTAAACGAGCTACCGGTGGTACAAGTCATCTTTGCTGGCACTCTGGTGAATGCCTGCTCTTTCCTCCTGCACTCACCACTTTTTTTTCTCTTTTTTTTCTTTTTTTTTCTTTTTTTTTTTTTTTGTGTGAAAGAAATAAAGAAGGGACACGCAGGGATGGTTTTAGGTTGCAGCAGCAGCAGTCTGAGCTTGTTTAGACCCGGGTTAGCATTTTGGGCTTGGTCCCTGTTGCTGCAGAGAGCAGGTGGCTGAGGTGTTGGTAAGCAAGGATGAGAGGCATGGGAAGTCAACCTTCTGCAGTTCAGGGCTCTTAAAACCGGTCCCATAGGAAGTGACCGTTAGAATGGCAACTACAGCTTTCCACTGGGGGTTTCCCAAACATCAGTGGAATTTCTGCATCTTTAAGCAAAATCTGGCACGTTACAGTGCTTCATCGAGGAACAGTGAGAGAAAAGCGAGTCCAAGTGTAGAAGCGTCTGCAAACCTGCTGAATTGATAGTCCTGTCTCCTAAATGTGAAGCAAATCATGAAATATAATCAGTTTGCCCCCAAATTGATTATGCAGCTTTGTGAATATGGCAAAAGGATGGAATCTCATGCATCTTTCAACTAAATGTTTACACGAGTTCACTTATGACTGCAAATGCATGACATTTTATAGGTGTTTACATTTCCCGGTGTATGACAGAAAGCTAAAATATCATGCATTGCCTAAAGATGGTACTACCATTTCAGCTTCTGGTTAGAATAGGTTTTCCTTATTTCTTTTGTGATTGTGTGCTGGTAGTGAAATACATGACATTTCAGGTCTTTTTTTCATGCACGGTAAAGGGAAGACATGGCAAGCTGAGGTAATATGTGTTTTTAACATTTGCCAACAATAAGGTGACTGTGAAAAATGAACACAAATCTTCATCATGACTTGTCGGGAGGAACATCAGTTCTGGAAGTGGCACCACCCAAATTCTGCCCCAAAAGATGCATTCAGTTAGGTCAGGAAGTTTAGCTAAGTCGTGTTTGGGTCTGGGAGGGACTGCAATACATCCTCCTTTGCAGTCACTGTCTGCCAGTTTGGGGGGACAGTAGCACCTCCCTGCCAGTGCTGGAGGTGGTGGATGGGTGCTGGCAAAACGCTGCTCAGCCCTGGCAAAATCCTGCTTAAAAACCCAGCTCATGAAACGCTCTGGATCCCCACCTGCCATCCTGCACCAGCTTACAGCTCAGCCAGAAGCTAAAAGCACTACCCAAAATAAGTTTCTTTCCACAGGCTCCATCACGGGCACATGGGAGGACACCAAGGCGTTGCTTGGTGTCATTTTGGCAGTTGCTGAGACCGTTCCTACTGGCACGAGCTGCTTCTCCATGGTCCAATGCCGAACAAACAGTGCTGATCTTCCATAGTGTTTTGTTTCTCTTTGCTCCTGTGCTTTCCACCACGCTGGGTCTGAGGACCAATTGCAAAACTCAGCCAGGAACGCTGTTGCCGTCTCATTCACCGTATTTAGTAGCAAACTTATTTATTTGTTATTAGTGTAAACAAATCCATTTTTCTGTGTCAGGCTTACCCGGTGCAGCTTGTAACAACTGCAATAAATACTAATGGGGAGATTTTTCCTTTAAAAAAAAAAAAAAAAAAAAAGATAGAAAACATTTAGCAGCTTCGGCAATCTGAAAGAAAGATGAAATAATTGGTAAGTGACAGCTGGCTTCTTACTGAACTTGAGGACTGTGCAGTGGATTTTATTTTTTTTTATTTCCTATGCTGAATACCTTTAATTGGCAGTCCCTTCTACCTGGTCTTGAGTCGCTATACCGAGCTTTTCCTTCTCCTAATGCCAGCAAATACATCTGAATTGCAGAGTATGTACTGCAGGTCTTTAGAGGATATTAATGTTTGTAGCTCTACTATAGCTAAGCCATACTAAGTTGCAGAAGATCCAATTTTGTTGCTCTGGAATAAACAAATATAGGGAAGCAAGCTTATCTACTCGGAATAGTTAATATAATAAGTTAAGAAGTGTTAGAAAGTTGGTATAGAAAGGGGTGTTCAGGCTAGGAAGCAAACGAACCCCACGTGCAGTGGAGGAAGACTTCTTGCATCGCTGCTGAAGCACTTCTTCAGGGATGAGTCGCAGCACCTTTCCTTTACTGACAAAGGATGTTTCCTATTTTAAATCTGCTTATGTATCTGACTGTACTCTGATTTATGCCCGTACAAATCTGCAGCACTTACACCGTGCTCTGAAGACTTAATGATCTGGGGCAGCGTTAAGTGACAGCACATTTTAGAGTCTATATTGGCTTCTGAAAAAGAAAGAAAGTGGGAAATTTCTCCTCTCTCTTGCTCAGGCTTATTGGCTAGCCCGTGTCTAGCATTTCAGGAACAAAACCACCTGAGAGGGTGCTTAGCGGTGTTGAACAACCCAAAGATAAGATCCAGTAGAATTGGCGTATGTGTAAATTATAATCCACTTGCAGCTACGCATGTAGCAGCTGGTAGTACCAACTACAAGAAAGGTCAAGCCTTAGAGGGAGAAAAAGTAATTTACTCAAAACAGGCAGACTTTTAAGGGAATTTAGCTGCTAGACCAGGTCCCTGCTGATAAGTGCCAGCAGCATTTTTCAGACTGGAAAATCTGGCCAGTTTTCCCATGGAATGAGTATAAGGTGCCTTTCTGGAACAAACTCAACCTTTCTGCCTTGCTCAAAATCCTGCCCCTACCCCCAACTCATTAATCTCAGTCTTAAAAATGTCTGAGCTCATTGTCATTAAAATTTTCAAAACTATTTCTCCATGGGAATGGGATAGAAATTTTCAGCAAAGTAAAATTTGCCCCCAAATTTGGCAAAGTAGATGCAATTCAAAATGTAATTTAATACTGGGAAATGCTGAGCAACCTTTGCACCATTATCGATGGTGCTATCTGCTTTGTACACAGTTTCTCCAGAA